CAACAAAGCGATGCAACCCAATATCTGTCAATCGATACAATTGCCAATGACTTTGTCTTCTTTGTCTCACACAGTTTGGGGGCTTTCTGTGTGAGCCACACGCTGTCCCCAACCGAATACTCCCTGCTCACCAGGAACTCACTTGGAAGGGACCCCAGTCTGCTGGATTCTTAATTTGGTTTTTTTCCAGAGCCAGCTCCAGTCATATTCTGGGCAAATTTCCCTCCTGAAGTTGCCACACAAATGGATTTATTATCCAGCATGATGCCAGCAGAGGCAAGCCAGAAGGCAAGCATAAAACAAAATAAATACCTTTGGATAAAGGAGCCGGCAAAGCATCTCTCTCCACTCAAGATCTTTGCCAATGACACCCTGGCAACTCCAAATATCAAAATGGGTTAGTTTTAGAAAAATTAAAACAACGATTAAGTTTTAAAGCACAAAACAAATTCCATTATATGAAACCTTCCCATCATTTTAATTTTTCAACAAATTTGTCTGTTGTTGTTTTTAATGGAAATAAACAAGTCCATTTGCAATTAAACTAGCAATGTGAGACTACGGCAATTGCAATCCATCAAGTAACAATTGGCCTTGCAATGTCATTTATGACATAATGGCTGCCTAGAATACTATGAATTACCACTTCGTAGTATAGCTACTAGAGGAAGCCTGGTGGTGTAGTGGTTACAAGTTGGGCTGCAACCCAAATGGTCAGCAGTTCAAAACCACCAGCAGCTCTGAGGGAGAAAGACTGGGCTTTCTACTCCCATAAACAGTTACAGTCCCGGGAACCCACAGAGGGTCACTTAAGTTAGCATTGCTCTGATGGCAGTGAGTTTTTGAGATTCGAGAGTATACCTACTACATGCCAGGCGCTGTGTGAGACTCTAATTATATATTACACAATGGTGCTTCAAGTAGTACGTGGGAAAATTCCATTTCTCCAATGGAATTGAAGTGGAGAACTAGTTCTTAGAAGCCCCCTCATATCTATTACCTTCTGCAATTCTATAAGATAACTATTATAATCTCCATTATATAGCCGATGAAACAGAGGTTAAGTAATTATTTTGTGGCACAATTATTGTATGACAGGGACAGAATTCAAAATGAGATCAATTTGTCTCCTACTCCTATTCTCTGGGTCACTACCACTGGGTCTTGGGGTACATCAGTCAACTTCATCCACTCCTTTCCAGAACGGGTGTGTTCATCCGAAGAAATGGATGTGAATGTGTCATTGTCCCTGGCCTTTGCTCATTGCCCTCCTGCCAGGCCCCCGCCACGCTCCGATCGCAGGGAGCAACTTCTCCATCCTCAGCCTCTGATCCCCACCCATGCCCTGCCCTCAGTCCATTAGTGACAAGGAACTTTTCATTGGCACAAGAAGGAAATTCACCTGCAGGCTTGAAGGTCCCTGACTCTGAAAATCAGAGCCTTCCCAGCCCAGGAGCCTCTAGGCAAGAGTCAGTTATGTCCCTTTGTACCTTGAAGGCAATTTAGATCCTCAACATTGCCGTTTGAATTCTACAAGGAAGGTGGACAAAAAGACCGACAGTCTTTCTCCCTTAAGACAAGTATTGAAAGACTTCAAACCCATTGCTCAGGGAGGGTGCTTCTGGGAAATTCAGAACAAACTGAGTAAAGCAGGCTGTTAGGAGTCCCAGTGGCACGGTGGGTTAGTCATTTGTTTTAAAACCATGAGGTCAGGAGTTCAAAAACCACCATTGATGCCTTGGCAGAAAGATGAGGCTGTCTGCTCCCATCAAAGCTTTACAGTCTCAGAAATCAGTGGTTTCCTGAGTCCATAGGACTTCTATGAATTTGAAGAAGGTTGCAAGTACTTGGACCAGCCAGAATCACAAAAAATTCTATTCTGGGAGAAGTACAGCCAGAATGCAACTTAGAGGCAAGGATGTCAACACTTCATCTTTTATTTCAGACCTGCTGTCAGGAGCGTCCAGTCCCTGGAGAAGGACACCCTGCTTGGTACAGTCACAGGGGGACCTTCGACGAGATGGCTGACTCAGGGGCTGCATGAAGGGGCTCCAGCCGGGAGGATGGCCCAGGGCAGAGTCGTGTGCATTGTGCTGTGCCTTCACTATGAGTTCAAACCCACGGACCGCACCGAACAGCAAGGTGAATCTGCTAACTGGATGGCAGTGGGCTGGGATTTAGAATATATCAGAATTTCAAACATGGATTCCAATGTTTCTAAATTATTAAAACGTCTCTTTTTCTTGTGGTTTGGTTTGGTTTTTTGCCCTTAAAAAAAAAGGTACCACACTCCCTTGGCTGTGGACAATAAGCTGGTGTATTTCTGACCTTCATTCCATAACTTGACTTCAATATCTGCTAATTCCTTTTTATGAAACAGATTGCATCAATCACATTCACATTTAACCAACTGCAGCGTAAATTGTTTTTGTTCCCTTTTTCATAAGTCCTTTCTCCAGATTAAATGTTGTAGCACCGAACAAACTGCTCTCGGCTGAAGTGGGAAAGTGAAATTCGATTAGTATGGATTCTAGAATCGGGTAAGTACTGTATCCGCGTCCTCTCTAGAAAAGAGGTGAGGTGCCAAGGGATATTAAGAATGGCCATTTAATGTAAAATCTCAGATAATACATGCGTTAAATGGGGAAAATGAGAGAAAGCTCTTAAGCGTGCTCCCAAGACGGATTGCAGAATAATATTATCGTACACGGAAGGGGAGCTGATGGGCCCCGTCAGGAGGCCATTATGGGAGTGGGGTAGAAAATCATTATGGCAAAAAGCATTTCAGAGCGGCAGCGCGAACGAGGCGGACACATAATGAATGATCAATAGAGAACTGGTGATTCAGTTATATTACAATATGAACAGAAAACTTCCTGTCATATAATTTTAATCTGCCACTCTGATAAACGGCTCCAGGATGGGGCCCCCTTTCAGTGTCAAGGGATGAGCAGGGGAAGGGGGAGCGCTCGTGGTCTGTTGTCTGAAATGGGTTTCTTATCCAAGACACAGTTTGGCTCGGGACTGCTAGCCAAGGAGGTAGCAGTCTGCACCCACCCAGAGGTGCGTGGAAACAGGTCTGGATCGGCTTCTGAAACCCACATGAGCAATGCAAGCAGCAGTGCTCCCCGCAGTCAACTAGCACCCCCCCCTCCCAAAACTCCAAGTCACCAGAAAGATCTAAGTATAAGACACAGAGCCGAGGAGGTTCCACGGTCCCTCCTTCCAATGAAACTAAGTTTATCAAAGCAGGCCACCGGTGCCACGCCCCGGTGTGAGGTTTCGTGTGTCGAAATAGCGCACGAAGGTATTCTCTCTGATCGCTGAGTGTTTGGGCTCCCTTGAATGTTGCTCCCGATGCGAGCACACCCTCTCCTCTGTCTGGACCGGGCCCTGTGCCCCACAGAGCTGCGACTCAGGCCCCTAGCCCAGTGCACAGCCCGGGGAGCTGAGCCCCAGAGAGATTTACATCTCGCCCAGCAGCTTCCAGCCTTACCCTGCTGTCTCTCTGTGGTCTGTGTCTCTAGGTGTGTCCGTATGCAGGTGTAACCACTGCCAGCTGCCATCGCACTGCTTCCGACTCATAGCAACCCTGTGTCCCAGGGCTCCACGGGGTTTTCAAACCTGTGACGTTTTGGAATCTGGTCACCAGGGTGGTGGGTTTGAACAGCCAACCTTTCAATGACAGCTGAAATAGTCAAGTTCTTAGGATTTGCACCACTCAGAGATTCATAGACAGGCGCCAGTATATGTCCTAGACCAGTGGTTCTCAACCTTCCTCATGCTGTGACCCTTTCATACAGTTTCTCGTGTGGTGGTGACCCCCCCCCCCAACCATAAAATGATATTTGTTGCTAGTTCATCACTGTCATTTTGCTACATTATGGATCGGGTGACCCTGGTGAAAGGGTCGTTCGACCCCCAAAGGGGTCTTGACCCACAGATTGAGAACTGCTGTCTTAGACAGTAGTCTTTTTTGTTGTTGTTTTTTAATCGTTTTATTGCCGGCTCCTACAGCTCTTAAAACATTCCACACATCAATTGTATCAAGCATATTTGTACATATGTTGCCATCATTTTCAAAACATTTTCTACTTGAGCTCTTGGTCTAAGCTCCTTTTCCACCCTCCCTCCCCCAACCTCCCACTCTTGTGAATCCTTGATAAATTAAATAGTGCTATTATTTTGTATCTTACACTGTCTTTTGGCTTATATAGTTCCAGAATACTTTCTTTTTAATGTTATGTTCTTTCATCAGCAAGCCAGTCAGTATTTACCAAGAAGAAATTGCTCTTTGACTTCAAAGAGTTGAAGTAACTATTTGTATTGCTACCTGGAATTTTTCCCTTTCAAAATAATAGGAGGACCAAACACATGGTAGCAATGGCTGCATCTGGAGAGGGACCACTGGTCAGGTAGAGGTAGCAAGGAAGCTGGCTTCTCCTTCTCCATCCTCCAATCATGTACCATTAATGCCAAATATTAATTTAAATAAAACTGAAACAAACGTTTAGGAAGAATGAGGATCCACAGGCCTCTCCTGCTCTGTTGACATCTGACCTAGAGATTCCCTTACCAGGAAAGCATCCCATGACTTCACTCAATGTTGGAGGCAGCAGTGTCGGCAAAAGCAAAACACTGGGGAAAGGAGCAGGCACAGATTAATCAAAGAGACCAAACTCATTGCCATCAAGTCAATGCCGGCTCATCATGACCGTATACGACAAGGGAGAGTTGCCCATTGTGAGTTTCTGAGATGGTAACTTTTGACAGCGTAGAAGCCCCATCTTTCCCTCTCCAAGAGGCTGGTGGTTTTGAACTACTGACCTTGCATTTAGCAGCCCAATGCATAACCACAGATAAATTGTGGAATGTTGTTCAGTGAGTTCTGACTCCTAGCCACTCTAGCCACAACAAAAACAAACATCGTCCTATTCAGCATCACCCTTCTGCCCTTCCTAAGCTTGAGCCCATTGTTGCAGCCACGGAGTTCATTTATCTCCTTCAGGGCCTTTCTCTTTTTGACAGACCCGCTGCTTTACCAAACATGGTGTCCTCCAGGGACTGCTCCCTCCTGATAATCTGTACAAAATATGTGAGACAAAATCTTCCATTTTTTGTGATACTTTTTGTGAGTCCAGTTGTGAAGGTTTTTGTTTTACGTTGAGGTGTAATCCATACAAGATCTTTGGTATTCATCAGTACCGGCTTCCAGTCTTCTTTCAGCAAGCAAGGTTGTAGCATCTGCCTATCAAGGGTTTCCAATGAATCGTCCCCTGATACTAATCTTTTGTTATTGATCATATTGTCCAGGGTTTTGGGATTTGTTTTTTTGTGTGTGGCTTTTCTTCCCCCCTAGCAAACAGATTGAATAGGTATAGTGAAAGGATGCAAGCCTGAGGCACATCTTTACTGGTTTTAAACCCTTCAGTGCTCTTTAAAAGACTATCTTTTCATCTGTGTACATGTTCTGCATGGACACAAGCAAGTGTTCAGGAATTCCCATTCTTTGTAATATCATTCGTTGTTTGTCATGATCCACAAAGTCCAATACCTTTTTGTAGTCAATAAAACGCAAATTAACATTTTTCTGGTATACTCCACTTTCAAACAAGATATATCTGACATCACAAAGAGATCCTTCATTCCACACCCTCTTCTGTGTCTGGCTTGAATTTCTGGCAGTTCCCTGTCAGTGGAATGCTGAAATCATTTATGAATTATCGTGAGCAAAATTTTACTTGCACGTGATATTCATGATCTCAAAGTCAATTCACCACCATTGAGTAGGCCTTGACCCATAGTAACCCTATAGAGTTTCTAAGACTGAAAATCTTTATGAGAGTAGAAAATCTCATCCTTCTCCCTCAGGCCTACTGGTGACTTAGAACTGCGGACCTTTCCGTTAGTAGCCCAAGGTGTAACCCACCTCACCACCAGGGCTCCTGATAGTAATGATGCTTTCCATATTCTGTTGTATCTTTCTTTAGAATGGGCACAGATATGGATCTCTTCCATATCCACAGCCAAGTAGCTGTCTTCCAAATCTCTTGGCATAAAGGAACAAGTGATTCCAGCTTTGCAGCAATTGGCTGAGACATCTCAATTGCCATTCTGTCAATTCCTGCAGCTTTGTTTGTCACCGATGCCTTCAGTGCAGGTTGGGTGTCTCCCTTCAATAACATTCCTTCAATAACATCAGTTCTTAATCAGATTCTATTTCTTGAAATGGTCCATCATTGATCAATTCTTTCACACAGTGTCTCTGTATTCCTCTGTGTTAGTCTGAGTAGACTAGAGGAAAAAAATCCATGGACACATATGTGTATAAGAAAGAGTTTTATATACAAGAGGAATTGAACATTGAGAAAACAATCCCAGTCCAGTCCAGATCAAGTCCATAAGTCCAATATTAGCCCATATGTCTGAAACCAATCTATAAAGTCCTCTCCAGACTCACAAAACACATGCAATGACACCAAATGTAGATCACAGGCCAGTGGGTAGAAAATCTTTGGATCCAGTGGCATTAGAAACATCTCAGCGCTGGCAAGGGCCTCTGCATGGCTTCCCAGGGCTGCATTAGGGTAGGTCCATGTGGCATCTCCTCAGGATGCCTCGTAGGAAGTCAGCCTTGTCAGGAGAGAGTCTCCAAGGGAGTGAACAGAGAGAGACGTGTCTTCTGCCTCCAAGGAGAAAGTACCAGATTTCCCAGAATTCTCAGGAGAAGGCCATACCCACACATAAGTCTCATTGGCTGTCTCCAGATTGACAGCCTAGACTCCACCCCTACGCTCTTAATCCTTAAATTGGCACCAGATTAGGTGACTAACATCCTCCATCTTCTTCTGTTGCTTCTTGCATTGTTCGATATTTTGCCCAGAGAATCCTTCAATATTGCAACTCAAGGCTAGAATATTTTCTTCAATTCTTTCAGCTGAGCATGTTCGCTCTTTTGGACATGCCACAACTCCAGGTGTTTGTGCATTTCATTGTAGTACTTTCCTCTGTCTTCTTCAGTTGTCCTTTGAAACTTCCTGTTTACCTCTTTTATTTCACCATTTCTTCCAGGGGTTTTAGCTCCTCTATATTCAAGAGCAAATTCCAGAGTCGCTTCTGACACCCACTTTGGCCTTTCTTTCTTTCCTGTCTTTTTTAACGATCTTTTTACTTTCTTCATGATGCTCTTGAGAGCGTCTCAAACCTTGTTTGATCTTCAGTCATTAGTGTTCAATGTGGCAAATCCAT